CAGGAATGAAACAATTTTCCTGCTAAAACTAAGAGATTCAAAGGCCAGGAGGGCAGAAGGACAATAAATTATTCAGGGAAGAGCTTAGCAACATGCTGTTGTGATTTTCATTCCCACCTTAATCCAGATCTTGATGCCAGTCTCCGCTGCCTATCTGTTAAGTGTTCACACAGATGTCTTCATGCCTTCCCCGTGTTGTCCCTCATGCTAGTGAGGAATGGCCCACCACTGATGGTACTGCTTTGTGGTTCCCCTTCTGCTGTGATGCTCACAAACACGGGGAGGCCAGCGAGAGGCCACTAACCACCTCGAACTGCCTGGGATGCTGATCTGGCTGCTCTCCTTCCTCACTTGCCTTTCCTCCTGGTCACACTGGTGGTCTCTGTCCACAGCAGCCAGTGGATACCTTGAAGTGCTGTCACAGCTGAAATCAGAAGAGAAAAAGATAGGGAGGTTTAAGACATAAAATGAGGTTGTCTGTGGTACACAGTCAGAGGAAGAGGGTGACAACTGAGAATGGTGAGACACCCAGACAGACTGGTCTCTGGGTGATAACATCGTTAGGACAGGGACCGGTTCTTGGTTTGTACAAAAACTTGCACAGTGGAAGTCTGACAGGGACCTTGTAAACCATGAAGTACAAATGCATCTCATAAATACTGAATTAAATTAGTAAAATCCAGAGCCTACATCCTTTGGAACTTTATCACAGCCCTCAGACTTAAAAGATCTCTATTAATCTTCAGGCTGTTAGAAACAAGCACAACAACAGCAGAAGTAGCATGGATTTAGAATAGCAGTAAAGGCAACGTTTTTAATAGTGCAAACAGTTAACTATCATCTCATAAATACTGAATTAAATTAGTAAAATCCAGAGCCTACATCCTTTGGAACTTTATCACAGCCCTCAGACTTAAAAGATCTCTATTAATCTTCAGGCTGTTAGAAACAAGCACAACAACAGCAGAAGTAGCATGGATTTAGAATAGCAGTACAAGGCAACGTTTTTAATAGTGCGAAAGGTTAACTATCAGAATGAGTTATTTAGAGATGTGCTGAAAGCTCCAACACTTTCATTCTTTAAATCAGGAGATGCTTTTTAACACAATAACAACTATGGTAAAAGAATTGATGCTTCAAATGTAATGGCCTTTGTTTTACAGATAGCCAGTTGGTCAGAGCCACAACAGTTCTTTCACACCTTAAATCTGTTTTGGACAGGAGAGTTACTCACTTGCATACTTTTCTTCTAGGTAT